AGTTTTTCTGTTCAAAAGAAGAAGAAGAAGAAGAAGAAGCAGCAGACACCATTTCTATGTATTTGAAGATACGTCGTCATCATCATCAGTTACTGAAGTCGTCTCAGAAGTGCTTGGAATCCCCTGCAAATCATGTCAAACATATTGCTATGAACATAGTAAACAAATTGAAGACAATTGTACATCTAAAAAATAAATTTTTCGATACATTTATTGCACTAAATCATATAAAAAGTTGCTGAGTATGGTCTAACCTGCGTTATGACCGATAATGTGGTGTTTGAGTTTTGGAGTGATATTGCTGCAGGAGAAAACAACGAAGGTTCTGGTGGAAGTGGCAAACCTTCGAGGCTTCCTAGCAACAACTCAAGCACCTTACTCATTGATGGTCTGTTTGATGGGATTGTTTGAATGCACCAAAGGCTCACTACTATCATCTTCCTAGTCATTTCTTCTTCCTCATCAGCTATGAATGTGTCAAGATTCAATTTTTCTGATTTTTCAAGCTGCTTATACAGTGATGTTGGAAAATACATTTCACTGGACTGAGACACTTCCACATTAACATTCTTTCCTCTTTCCCCAATCATGTCCAGCACCATCATGCCATAACTATAGACATCAGACTTGCAAGAAACTCCTCCAAAGTTTCGACAAAACACCTCTGGAGCAATATATCCACAAGTTCCTCTGGCCCCCGTCATTGAAACAATAGTATCTCTTGTTTCACATAATTTAGCAAGACCAAAATCAGCGATCTTAGGACAGAAGTTGGCATCTAAGAGGATGTTTTGAGGTTTTATGTCAAAGTGTAATATCCTTGTGGTACAACCTAGATGCAAGTATTCTAGTCCTCGAGCAATGCCGAGTGCTATTTCATACAAGGTCTTAATTGCAAGCTGATGGTTCTCTAGAGATCCTTCATTACAAATGAACTTATCCAGAGATCCATTGGGCATGAATTCATAAATCAAAGCTCTTTTTGACCTCTCATAGCAGAACCCCAATAGGCTAACTATATTGACATGGGAGGTTCTGCTAATGCTGGCAACTTCATTGATGAAATCCCGTCCATCCCCTACGGATTTTCTGAGTACTTTTACCGCCACAATACGGCCATCAAGTAATTTTCCTTTATATACGCTGCCATATCCTCCTTGACCCAATTCATCTTTAAATGAGTTGGTTATTTTCTTGATGTTTGAATAGGAAAATCTCTTGAGAGCAAGAGAACCATACTGAAGAATGGATGCCTCAACTCCTTCATCGTTCTTGCCAGTTAGATGGAAGTATAGAGACTTCAAACTTGACAATGATTTTGTTTTAAGCCTAAGGAGGAGCACTATAAAACCGATTGCTATAATGGTGGTTACTGCTATTGCCAATCCTGTGTCATAGGAGATATAATGAAGATCAAGTCAACGTTTTGTTGCTTGGCCAAAAAATTAGATCAAGTCAACTATTCTAGAAATGATGGATATAAGATGTCAGACAAAAATAATATTTTCCCAAATGAGACTAATTTAATACCTATGATTAGTTTCACTTTAAGCCTCCATTTCCCTGAAACAAAGAAAAGGAAAAGAAATGGTATCATCACTTTTTTTTACTGATAGAAGAGAGCTACAGAAGCATGTCAGAAACACAAACTAAAATCCACTATAGAAATATTGAAGAAAGAATTAGCTTATTTGAATGCAATAAGATTGAAATATTTTAAAGAATCAACCCTTCCTAGGACAAAATATTGCTACATACTAGAACAACATTAATACACGATTATTAGTATTTAATTTGAAGCAGCGCAGATAGACATTTGAATACAGCAGTAGGCTAATTACGGATTAAAACAAACAAATTCACTTCTGAGAAGCTTAGAGACTTTTGCTATCAGCGAGGTGAAATTTCATTAAGGTTGAAACTATCCATTTATCACAATGGAAACCAAAGAACATCCTTCAATTAAAGTAGCATTACTGGAGACAAACTCAACTCAAAGGTGCCCAATAGTTAGTGGATAGTCAAATAGAAACCATGATTCAGAAATTTCCCAACCATGAATTGTCACAATAGAACATCAAGAGAGACCAAGCTATACTCCTCAGGAGTCCATGTGAACTTAATTATGGTTCTGGAAGCAAAATGCAGACATATAACGCGAAAATTTGAAACTAGGCAAAGAACCAACATTATCACATAGATCGTAAAGTCAGTTATGTGGTATGTCACAAATTCGATCACCACAAATGCAAACACACTGATCCAAAAATCCGCACTCCCCACCCCAATCATGACAACTAGCGCAATAGGGTCCATTCGGAGTAGCCTAATTCACGCTAAATCCCTCCATTAAAGCTTCCTTGAGCGAAGACCTATTGGTCGTAAGTTTATCCGCAGCTTGCAACATGGGCAGTTTGACGATGATATTACAGTGAATAATTTGGTAAAGAGGAACGTTCAGAATTGGACCCACCACACGGTAGGCAGCGCTACGAGAAGTCCCATCTATCTACAACGCACCAGAACAGGTTCTCCGGCGTATACGCCCGGACCGAAGTACACTCATAGAACAGCGAAAGGTTTTGGTTGTGTGGGCTGAGATTGAATAAAGTGGAATTCAGAGTGGTTTTAGTAAATTGTGAGGGTAGAATGACGAATTTATCTCTGAATAAAAAACAAGGACGAATAAACCCACAAAGTTTTTAACTTGGATTAATTACTTCAAATTTAGATAAATCACCTTCAAATTTAACATATAATGTCATTTGGCATCAATAATTTGTTAACAACAAATTTATCAACAACATAACAAATTAACATATTGCTGATTTCCGATGACGTCATATATTTGTTTCTTGTTTGGAGGTAGAGTAGTCCTTACTACCCAACTTTAAGGGTGGATTTGGACATTCTAACAATTGTGAGTGAGGGAGTTTGGTAACTTGAGCTTGAGTTTTGAGGTCTTGTGCTAGTAATGTCATGCTACAACATCAATTCATTCGAATCCAACAATATGTCATTGTTTTGCCAAATGCTTGGTGGGAATTCATCTTTCCCTCTCATTATCCCATTGCTTCGCTGGTGCGACCTTCTTTTCTAGTGATGTCGTTGCTTTGCTAAATGCTCAGCATTTCCCATAGATTTCCTACGGCTTTGATAGAGTGACTTCCCTAAAGATATCATATCAGAGCTCGAAGTTGTAGCAGTTATATTTGCAAGTGTTGTGAGTTGTACAGTTTGTCTAACTCCCTTACTAAAATGTTATTGGCTAATATTAGTTTCATCTCAAGTTTACTGATATTACCTTCATACATGTTTAATCAATACTCATGCATATCCATATCATTGACTAAAAACACCCCGAAGTAGTAAGTTTATAAAATTAAACCTTAACAGATTAATTAATAAGAAAACCACCTCTTAACATATATATATATACACACACACCTATAATACTTATTAATTGCTTCCACTATTTTAAGGGCAAAAGTTTACTTTTAATCTTTTACTTTAATAAGTTTATAAGTTTTAATTTTTTATTTTATATTATAAAACTTTTAACTTTTTACTTATATGAATTAAAAAAAATAACTCTTAATTAGCATCAAGTTATAACATTTTTCGGTTAACATTTCATTAGCTCTATCCTGTTGCATTTTGCTGTGAATTCTAGCATTTTTTTGGGCTTTATTTTTAAGAACTACTGCATATATCCATTGTATATAACT